CTCTGCGAAATCAGCTACAAGTGTTGAAGTCGGTTGGTGTTGATGGTGTTATGGTTGATTGCTGGTGGGGAATTGTAGAGGCACACACTCCGCAGGGATATAATTGGAGTGGCTACAAGAAACTATTCCAAATTGTGCGCGATCTTAACCTTAAGTTACAGGTGAGTGATATATACTTATACTAGCATTTTCTTTTTTCTCTTTGCTTGTGTATTTCATCGTCTGTTTCTTGTTTCCTTTCAGTAGTCATGTCAATTACAGTGCCGAATTTCAGATTTTCAGTTTTTACAGATGTTAACCTGCACTAATCTGATAATTTGGGTTTTTTCTTTCCTTTAGAACTGATAATGTTAAGTATCCTTGTACAATGAATGATTCTGGAAGTATCACGTTTGTCTCCGACATGATGCACTTTTGTTGCTGTAGGACATAAATCTGTAAAAATCGTCTTGGAAACTTTTTTAATTGGTCTTGGAAACTTATTTGACCTTTGTTGATACGTGATGTATATTTTCATTTTTAGAGTTAAATTTTGTCAGTCAAAATACATGTTCTGAAACAGTTGAGAAGGCTTTGATTTGGACAGATAATCATTCGGGGTGATTTGTACCAAGCTTTTCTTTCTTAATTGGTTGTCTTCAGTTAATGACTGGCTATTGTCTTTTTTTTTTTTTTTTTTTTTGAACAAACGATATTATCTATCCACTAAGGGGGAGGGGTGGGCTTAGCCTCACAATGGGCTAGCAATTATATGGTTCAAACTCGCCTTTGGCGAGAACGAACCTAAGACCTCTCACTTATAAGTGAAGAGGAATACCACTTGACTGTAATACTAAGTGGCTGACTGGCTATTGTCTTAGGTAAAGGGGCATAATAGTCTTGAGTAGATTGCTGAAAAGTAATGCACTGCTAGCTTTTCCTTTTGTAAATTAGTTTGCGAGACTATCAGTTAAAACTCATTTTAAATAAGAGAAAGATTTTCTGCTTTACATTTTTCCTTTGAATATGCATTTTGGATATGGTGTGCATTGTCTTACTCTGTATTGCTGTAGGTCGTGATGTCATTCCACGAGTGTGGAGGCAATGTCGGGGATGATGTACATATCCCACTTCCTCACTGGGTGACAGAAATTGGCCAAAAGAATCCTGATATATATTTTACTAATAAAGAAGGGAAACGCAACACTGAATGTCTCACATGGGGAATTGATAAAGAGCGGGTTTTAAGAGGCCGCACTGCTGTTGAGGTATAGTATTCGAGAATTACTTAGTTATGCTGGTTTTTTAATTTCTATGGATTGCCATAGCTCCTTTCTTATATTTGATTTCTTTTACATGTTCCACTCATCTTTTAAAAGAAGCTATTGCTAAACCTATTCCAACTTTTATACGTTCTTTATTTCTAAGAACTTTCCTTTTGTATGCCATAAGAATCAGACCCTATGCATTCTTACTGTTTGATGATGAGAGTTTCTATTCTGTTATTTTATAATGGAACCAATGCAGGTTTACTTCGACTACATGAGGAGTTTCAGAGTTGAATTTGATGAATTTTTTGAGGAAGGAATAATATCAGAAATTGAAGTTGGATTAGGTCCGTGTGGAGAGCTACGGTATCCTTCTTATCCTGAACAGCATGGTTGGAAATATCCTGGTATTGGTGAATTCCAGGTACCTTAATAAATGGTGATCATTCCTTTCATTAGTGGCAGGCATGATAGCTAGGATTTGACAGTTATTTCTAAATGTTAATTTAGTAGCCCTTCATTCATCTGTGATTATGACCTTAAGCCAGTAGCTCATTTGATTTATTACTTCTATATCAACTTTGAAATTGTTCTCTGATTCAACCTGGTTCGGTGCAGTGTTATGATCGATACTTGATGAAGAATCTGACTCAGGCTGCAGAAGCAAGGGGCCACTCCTTCTGGGCCAGAGTACCAGATAATGCAGGCTCTTATAATTCCCAACCACATGAGACAGGGTTTTTCCGTGACGGAGGTGATTATGATAGCTACTATGGCAGATTCTTTCTTAATTGGTACTCCCGTGTTTTGATTGATCATGGTGACCGTGTACTTGCTCTGGCCAATTTAGCTTTTGAAGGCACACGCATTGCTACAAAGGTGAGTCACTTTATTGGACACTAGTTCTACACGGTTCCCTTCCCCCTTTTTTTTTTTTTTTTTTTTTTTTTTTTTTGTGGAGTTTCTTTATTTGATTTATGAGCAGGTATCAGGTATCCACTGGTGGTACAAGACTGCCAGCCATCCTGCTGAATTAACTGCTGGATTTTACAACTCCTGCAATCGTGATGGGTATGTGCCAATTTCTGCAATGTTAAAAAAGCATGAGGCTGCTCTGAATTTCACATGTGTTGAAATGCGCACATTAGACCAACATGAGGGCTTTCCGGAAGCACTGGCAGACCCTGAGGGATTAGTTTGGCAGGTTAGCACAGAAACTCATGTGTAATTACTTCCTGGATTTTAAGCATATGTAAATTAAGCAATAAATATAAATCACCACCATTCGGAAAAGTGAGCATCTGGGTTGGCTGGATGAGCAGAAACTTAAAAAGCATCAATTAGAATTTTGAGCTGAATATGCATACTTCTTTTATTCTTGGGAAGGTGGCCACATTTAGTGTCCGAGTCAGTTGCTATTTTGTGAATAATGGGTCTGCTCAAATTCATTCTTCTCCATCTGTCAAACAAATACTTTAAAATTTTTCTAACTAACATGGGCAAGAAACACTGGATCAAGAGGCGCGGTCTGTTGTTACATGTGGAATGTCAGTTTCCCTTGGATTTATGTACCACAATATTATCTGTGTAGCCTTTTTGTTTTCTTTTTGATAATGTTTTTGGATTTCAATTTTTTTCAGGTGCTGAATGCTGCATGGGATGCTAACATTCCAGTTGCTAGTGAGAATGCTCTTACTTGCTTTGACAGAGAAGGCTACAACAAGATATTAGAAAATGCTAAGCCCTGGAACGATCCAGATGGCAGGCATTTATCAGCATTTACCTATCTCAGATTAAGCCCAGTTCTCATTGAGAGGCATAACTTAACGGAGTTCGAGCGATTTGTCAAGAGAATGCATGGTAAGAGTTGTAAGACCACATGGTTCTCTTTTCGTGCATTGCTACACACTCAAGCATAAGCACACGTATGCACAAACTCTCATATATTTCATTTTATAGCAAGAAAAATGAGCAATACAATGCACTCTTTGGGATGTCCTCTTGTGCGCTCAGAAGTTTTTATTTCTCATATTATGTTGTGTTGCTTGGTTGCACCCTTTGAATAAGACCAAAATCAGGCATCTCGGATAAGCTCTAATTCAGGCCTTCTCTCTAGAACTGGAGCTTATACGAGAAGCTGAAATCCAATTATTGAAATAATGTAGAGTGGCAAATGTATATTCTTAGATTCATGTATGCTTGTGCATGTAACTTCTTCTAGCCAAAGGATCAACATTGGTAGAAGCTCTTTGTTTACACATTTCTTATCAATCAAAGCTGATTCAAACTGACCCTACACTCATATTTACTGAATTCTTACACTCCAAGACATGGAAAAAAAATTAAAGCATATTCTGTTGTCCTACGCGTCTATCAATTGTCGCTGCATTTTGTTTTCGAATGGATTACCATGTCTATAATCTATATCATATGCCTGCTGCTATGATCTGTACAATACGCTTGCTATTATGAGACGATATGTCTCACATGGTGTATCGCTTGCTTTGTTTTTTATGTTGGCCTGATCTAACATCGAAATTTAATCCACTTGAAAACGCAGGAGAAGCCGCTCCTGATGTTTAGATCAACTCAAATAGACAGCACACCGGTTTCAGGGGACGGTGTGCAAATCTACATATAGGAATAATAAAAAAAAAGTTTTCTAGCATTCTACAGGTTTGGTGTATTAACTGATAAAACTATGGTTACAAACTTGTAACCGATGATGGTAATTTATAAGATATTTCCATTCCAAATCTCACAAATGCATACTCATGTCATGAGCCTTGTTTTTAGCTACAAGTTACTAAAAGTGACGAGAAAGGTTACAAACAACACCCCACTTGTAAGTGATTCCAGATCAGCTCAACAACGATGGTTGTCTGTGTGGTTGCAAATGTTGATGGAGGCTAAATTGCACAAATCATTAGTGCGCGAAGTGGGTTATATGTCAATGTTACTCGTGTGCACGGGTGACACAGACATATGACCCGCACCATATGAATGATTCGTGCAATTTGACTAATTTTCAATTAGAGATGGGGACGATTGATTGTATTGGCATTGTATGATCGATAATGTTGTTCAATGCAATTAATATATCATTTTTAAATGGTGGGGAATTCAATGACGCGAGACTTTAGAATAATAAAAAATTATATGACTTTTTAAGTCTTTTGAAGGAACAAGAGTTGCAGGTTCACAGTTGGAATAATGAAATTTCCACACAATTAAGACAAAAGTCTCACTTTCTAATGATAGATATTCTTGTGTTTGACTTGTGACACATGACACTTTTATTACGGTTTAAAAAAGTATAAGGGGGATTTTTGTGTGTATACCACATGGATAGGTGACCTTCATGTCAAGCACCAAATTTTGTCCAAATGTGACTCCATAATTAGTTCATTTTGTTTCATATTGATCAAATTGGGTTCAATTACAATGTATATCATAAGAGGTTTGGGGTGAAGTCCAAATATCATATTCTTCTTCATCAAGACATCAATGCCTTGTCTACTGGGGCGAAGCCAAAAAATAGATGGACAAGACTGATGAAGAAGCTCATTAAGCTCGTGAAAGATAGGCCATGGCAATCCGTGCAAATGGGCAGATGAGAAGAACAAAAATAAGAAAATCTTTGACTGCTTGATAAGCTAGTCAGTCTACTATGGAGGACCAGGTTCTTCAATATAAACCTCGAATAATAGTTCTTCACTAATTAAATCTGTTTTTAAAGTAAGAATTTATAATACATTATTTCACTTTTATAACTAAGAACTTGATCATCACCTACCTGCCAAAGAACATGTTATCTCTACGTTTGAACATATTGGGTCTTGAATGTCACCCACAGCCATAGGAGTCTCTTGTGGGCATAGAGAAGGCCTGGGGGGCATTTGCAGACATTCAACATCTCCTCCAAGCATCTCGATGACTTTGTGCATCGAAGGGCGATCGGTTGGCTTCATTTGAATGCACCACAAGGCGGTTATAACCATCTTTCTGATTACATTCTTTTCCTCCTCTGTTACATTGTCCATCTCCAAGTCATTTCCCACATTATACTGATCGTATACCCACAGTGGGAAGTAGAATTGGCTTGAATGCTCTACCGTTGTATTCAAATTCTTCCTTCTGCTTGCCATTTCCATCAACAACATTCCGAAACTATAGACATCGGCCTTGTGTGAAACGCCTCCAATATTTTTGTAAAACAATTCAGGAGCAATATATCCCATTGTACCCCTCGCTGCCGTCAACGTGACAATGCTTTTATCGACGGGATACAACTTTGCTAGCCCAAAGTCAGAAACCTTTGCTTTGAAGTTCTCATTAAGAAGAATATTATGAGGCTTGATATCGAAATGGAGAATTTGCATCGCGCAACCTTGATGTAGATACTCAATCCCTTGAGCCACTCCAAGAGAAATCTCATACATTTTGTCGATAGTTAAAGGCACACTTCCTTCTTTGGAATAAATGTATTTATCAAGAGAGCCATTAGCCATGAACTCATATACTAGAGCACGCTTTGATCCCTCAACACAATAACCAACGAGTCGCACCACATTGGCATGGTGAATCCTTCCAATGGTAGCTATTTCACTAATGAAATCTTGGCCATTAGCTTTGGACTTGCCCAGAACTTTAATTGCTACAAAACGGCCGCTGCGTAACTTTCCTTTAAATACTGAGCCATAGCCGCCTTCGCCCAACTTATCCTTAAACTTGCGAGTCATCTTCTTGATGTCCGAGTAAGAGTACCTTATAGGCATGAAATTCTTATCGCGCTGTAGAAAGTCTTCTATTGTACTATACATTGACAAATGTCTTCTTCGCCATTTATAGACTAAAAATACAGCCGCAATTGGAACGCCAAACAGTAGTCTTGCTAGAAAAAATAAGCCTGCAAAAATATATATATCACCAAAAGAATCGTAAGAAAAGAAACTTATATGTTAGATCCACACTACTTTCAACTTTCTTCAACTTCTTTTGTTTCTATTACATTTTACTTTGTTTCATTCATGACAAGTAGGAATCTACACACACACACACACACACACACATATACAACTAATAATTCAAGCTTTTCTTACCGATGCTCATCAGTATTTCCCATCCATGCACTGCAACAAAATAGCAAAGAGTAAAAGCTAATTATATCGATGGCTATAAGTTCGAAAAGTGAATAAAAATCAAAGACTTGACTACATATATGCAAGAAATACAAGCTCTGTCTTACCGATGGAATGGAATTGAAACCATCGAGGAAAGTATCCTGCAATAACCAACAACTGAATGCCAACAACTGAATGCCAAATTTCAAAGATTATTTAGTTTACTGCCTGCCATGTTTACTTAATAGGGTAATTATCCACAACCTCAATCTTGGGCCACACGACAAATTTTTACTTCATTTTTTTGAACATTACAATATCATACATTAACCTACGTATCCATTATAACGTCAGACCTCTGTCTCCTTATTCATCAATTTGTTTGTTAACTGCTCACGTAACATAAGCGAGACCCACTCTCTCTCCCATCTAAATTGAAAAATTAATTAAATATTAATAAATTAAGAATTTCAAAATCCTTCGTGCACTGCATGCTAGTGTGCGAGACTACTCAAAAACTTTAATTTAGTACTATTTAATTTCTCCTCAATAGGAAAACTAACGAAAAGTCTAAAAAAAAAAAACTTTAGTTTTAATGAAAAAGAACAAATAAAGGTGTAAGTAAATAGTACCAAAAAAGATAAAAATATGATTTTTCATTAAAAATGAACAGTACCGGAAGTGTTTCGTTAAAACTCTATTTCTCAATTCAATTGGGCGAGGGAGTGGCTAGCAATTGCAAGGTCATCATTTAATAGACAAATAAATGATAAAAATACAAAAGTTTAATATTGCAACGAATTTATAAGTTAATATATGATGTTGCAATATTAAAAAAAATGAGGTAAGAGTTTGTTATGTGACATAATTTACTCTTATTTATAATTTGTTGGAAGAGGATACGCGTTGAAATCTAACTACAGAAGTTAGAGGCTTGTGTATACTCTAAAGTTGTACATATCGAATTTTAGAGAGAAACAAAAAGGAGAGATTTATTTTCTTCATTTTTGTTTTGGAGAGGGACCACTTACGGATTTGAGCCCATTCATATTGAAAGAAACCTACAGTAAAAGAACAAAACAACATCAGCATAACAGCCGTTAGAAAATAAAATTCAAGTTCCTGCCATTTGTTGATACCTGTACAGCATTAGCATATATAAAAAATAAAGCAACATAATTCATTTGTCATATATTTGACTGCAAAATTGGGATATAGTTTTGGGAAATGGCCATTATATAAGATAAATGGTAAATTATATTTTACCATGTTTAGAATTGATATCAATTCCTTACAATATTTTTAAAACATTTTACTTACATATGTTACATTTTTCATCATTGACCTGTTAAAAGCTGACGTAGTTGCCACATTTGTGCTACATGATAAAAAAATTATTTTTTTATTCATTTAAAAAGTAAATAATTTAAAAAGTTATTAATTTAAATTTAAAAAAAAAAAAAAAAAACCAAGAACCCATCTTCTTCCCCGACCCCCCCCCCCCTTCGCTCAACCCAAACCCCCCATCCCACCCCACGCACCCCCACCTCCGCCGCAACCCCACCCCGCCCCAAAAAAACTGAAAACCCTAAAAAACTTGGAAGCGAGAGTTGCAGAAGACACACAGAGGTGCCCCCACGGAGACAAGGAGAAGAAGACGGATCGGGTCTTGTAGCTGCTTTCTCCTTCTCAGTCCACTTCTCTTCTCTTCTCTCTCTGGAATTCCCTTTGCTTTGACTGAGGTCTCCACTCACAATGATCGCAAGGACTGCTGCCTCATCGTCGATGGTAAGGTAATCTTCGAGCTCCTTCTAAGCTGCGGTTTTCAGTTAAATTTGGGGATTTTGCATCTGGGTTTTAATTTGAGGATTTCTGTGTGTGATTGAATCTGGGTTTTGCTCTGATTGGATCCGTGTGAAGTGCTTTTTTTTTTTATCTTGAGAATTCAATTCCCCCTTTTGATTTTGGGGTTTTGGGTTGAACAGCTGGGTTTTTTTTGGGGTTTTGGGTTGGGGGGGGGGGGGTTCGGGTTGCAGGGAAGGGGGGCGGGGAAGAAGATGGCTTCTGGGTTTTTATTTATTATTATTATTTTTAATTAATAACTTTTTTAATTATTTATTTTTAAATGAATAAAAAAATAATTTTTTTGTCACACAAATTTGTCAGCCACGTCAGCTCTTAACAAATCAATGGATGAAAAATGTAATCGGCTTGAGATATAAAAGTGAAATGTTTTAAAGATGTTGTAAAGAATTGAAATCGATCCCAACCTAAGGTGATAAAATGTAATTTACCCTAAGAAAAACAATTAAAAGTGTTTAGCTGTAATAGAAATATAAACAACAACCATAATATAAACAGAGTCTTAATAGGATGAAATGTTTCTCTCTTTATATAGTTCAGATAACTTCATAAATATTGTATTATTAAGATATTATATCCATAATAATGTCTATATGTATCTATATACTGTTGACATGATATGAATATTGTTGATATATTTTTCAAGCAAAATGAATGGCTTAGCAGGAGGTTTCGCAAAGAAAGAATATATATTCCTCTTCCGTTGAGGAACAGCTGGTGCTGCTCATTTTGTACACAACGATCCAAACTATTTATATTTTAATACATCATTCATAGATAAAAAAAATTAAAAAAATCCAAAACCATAAACACATTCAATTGTAGTAAACAAAATAGAAGAATATGATTTTTCAAAAAACACTAGTTTGACTGGCATTTAAAGAAAGAAGTAAAAGATAGACAGTTAAATCATTGAAATACAATGTAAAATAGACCCTACAAGCGATCAATCAAATAAGCTTATTTGAGAACAAAGTAATTATAAGTTAGTACTTCATTTGAGAATTACGCACCTGGGATGGTGCGTGGATAACATTTAGGATGAACAAAGTAATATGAGCCATTGCAGGGTGAACTTTGTTCATCAGGCCAATGCACTCGAAGCACAAAGCCATACATGAGTGCACTGTGTATATATTCATAGCTATAAGAGGCATTATAGTAGTACCAGAGCATCGAAGCCTTCCTCTCGACTCTGCAACCCTCATTCAAATCTTCCATTGCAGGGTGAACCATGACATAACTGTAAGATTTAGGTTGGATCAAAGAAGTGGCACTATTATTCAAGCATGGAGCAGTATCCACGTACAGAGAAGAATTTACTTGGTTTCTACACCTCAAGTAATATACTGACGTTGAAAGCGGCGAACCATATGTATATGGATATGGAAAATAATTGGGCGGCCAATTTTGAGGCAGGGAAGAGCAATTGTTGTTGTCAAGGCCAGGATCTAGAAGTCGGATTGTTTGGTTCTTGTAATTGATTGCCTGTACGTGGTATTTACCGGAATAAGGTAGATCTAGAACTGTTGTATTGTTGTTCTCGCAGGAAAGAGTATACCGGAATAAGGTATCGCCACATGTCTTCGGATCATCGTTTAGTCGAAAAGGATAAGTTATGTTATGGATAAGGCCGCAGGAGGAGGTACATGAAGACTTACTATCATCCTTAGCGTTACAAGTTTCACCGCAAAAGCAAAGAACAAGAAAGGCTAGAACGAAAGGCCACCAAGACAAGGTGAAGGATCTGCTTCCACTTTTTTCCATGGGTAGAAGAGAGAGAGAGAGAGAGAGAGTTGTTTACTAGTAGACAAAAAGTGCTAGTTTAGACAGTTGTGTACATACCCATATTATAATACAGGAGAGGGGTTAAAGGAAGCACCTTCCGTGAAGCTCCAATTACTAATTAGAAAATATCTTAGAGGAAAGGCCGTCAATGATGTTTGTTTGACACAGTCAGTCAATAGCAAAGACTTCTTCGTAGTCGCTCCAGTCGAGATCGCGGACTCTGCCTGTTGAATCCCAAACCCAAGGTGTTTGGGTTTGTCGGATCTGTGAGTGGTGGCCCGGGAAGTGAGTCAAGTAAGGATGGGGACTGTGGCCGGAGAGAATAGGTGGAGGAGACGGGGGTCGATGGGGATGTGGTATGATTTTATATTTTCTGAGTTTGGGATGGGATGGTATGAGGAGGAGGGAGTGAGGGAGGGGGGAGGTGATGAACAAGGGTGATGAACTGGGATCGCGGCATGCAATTCTCTTTAAGTCAAACACAGAGGAGACGATGGGGACCTGGGAATAAAGGAGAAAGAGAGGTTTTTAAAAATTAATTTTAATTATTAATAAAAAAAATTAATAACTTTTTATTAATTAATAATTTTTTTATTTCAGTTGGTAAATGAGTGGGCCCGTTCCTGCCACGTCTTCATTTAGCAACAAAATTAACAGAAAATTTAACGGATATTTAACATTGCAATGAATTCATAAATTGAGGTGTGAAATTGCAATGTTTAAAACATGAGATATGAGATTGTGATTCGACTTATAGTTGAGGTAGTTTTGTGTAATTTACTCAAACATTTCTTAGTTGGTGAACTTAACATAAAATTGGGTATCAATAAAAGTACCCTCTGAGGGCAGGGACAATTTTTGGATGACAAAACGTAGAGAGGTGTGTTCAATTAAGATTTTGAAGAATTTTAAAAGAGTTACAGATTTTATAGAATTTTATGGAATTTCAAAGTCTTTTATTTAGTATTTTGGTAGTGCATTTGTAGCATTTTAGTAAATTGAGAAGAGTGGGTTGGACAAGAAGGTCACATCCACGAAAACAATCCAGTACTTGCAGTTGAGAAGACAATTTAAGACATAATCTTTTATTTTTAATTTGTATAATAGAAAAGGAAGCACCTTCCGTGAAGTTGCATGCACTAAGCACTTCAAATTATTGGAGAATACTCTATAATTGCTACGTATGTATAATTAGATTCCATGCTCATTATTATTATTATTACCAGCTCAAAAATGCAGAAATTGGTCATCGCTTTCTTTTGCATGTTGTTACTGGTTTTCTTCAAAGTAGTTGAAGCAAGCCAATTTACGTGCTCCAAATCCAATTGTAGCAATGATCAAGTCCCGGCTATCCATTTTCCATTGCACCTCAAGCATCATTGTGGTCCTGGGCTTGAATGCAATCAGACAGATGAGCAACTGATAATCCTAGTAAAATTCTTTGTCAAACGCATAGATTACAAGCGTCAGGAAATCCAAGTGAATAGCGCATACACAGATGACTGCTTGCTGCTAATAAAGCCTGTAAAACTCCCAAACATGCCACTCTCTCCCTTCAACTTGTCAATTTTCGACATCCTTAACTTGACCTTATTCAGCTGCCCACCTGATGGAAGATCCCATGGGATTCAAGTCCCCTGCCTCGGTGACCCTGGCCGCACAACTTATGCTCTTTATCATTCTTATTATTCAAGTTCCCCACCATGGGATGATATCCCTGATTATCTACAGTCTTGTACAAGAATGTATGATGTTTTATCAGTTCCATTTGGTACAGAGTTCGGAAAGGAATATGGTGTTCTTCGTTTCAAGTGGTCCACACCAAATTGCAGAGAATGTGAAGCAGAGGGAAAGAGGTGTAGGTGGAAGAACAATGGCACCAACAGTGAAGTTGAATGTGTTCACTGGAGGAAACCAAGTAAAGATAACATATATTATACTCATTGCTAGCTAGCTTTAAACATTGTCCTTTCCAATTTTATGAGGATTAATTGACTGACAGTCTCCATTTAATTTGCAATACAGGCAGCACATGGAAATCACTGGTTACAGGTGGAGTCCTGGGTTCTTTGCTTCTCGTTCTACTGATGATTGCAGCATATCGGGCATATAGCGCTGATAGAAAGGAAAAAGAGAGTCGATTAAGAATTGAAAGATTCTTGGAGGATTACAGAGCACTGAAACCGAGCAGGTATTTGTACGCAGATATTAAGAGGATTACAGATCAATTCAAGGACAAGTTGGGCCAAGGAGCCTACGGAACTGTCTTCAAAGGAAGGCTTTCTTCTGAATTCCTTATTGCTGTCAAAGTCCTCAACAGTTCTAAGGGAGATGGGGAAGAGTTCGTAAATGAAGTGCGAACCATGGGTCATATCCACCACGTCAACGTGGCTCGCTTGGTTGGATTTTGTCCTGATGGATTTGTACGAGCTCTTGTTTACGAATTCTTCCCCAATGGTTCCCTGCAAGATTTCATTTCATCTGCAGATAGTAAGAATTCCTTCCTTGGTTGGGATAAGTTGCAAAATATTGCCCTCGGCATAGCCAGAGGAATTGAATATCTTCACCAAGGATGTGATCAACGAATCCTCCATTTCGATATCAAACCCCATAATGTTTTGCTAGACCAAAACTTCACTCCAAAAATTTCTGATTTTGGTTTGGCCAAGTTATGTTCCAAGGATCAAAGCTTGGTGTCTATGACTACTGCCAGGGGGACCATGGGATACATTGCACCCGAAGTGTTCTCCAGGAATTTTGGAAACGTGTCTTACAAGGCAGATGTCTATAGCTTTGGAATGCTGCTGCTCGAGATGGTAGGAGGAAGGAAGAATATTGGTTCAACCATAGAGAACACCACAAATGAAATTTACTATCCACAGTGGATTTATAATCTTCTAGAGGAAGGGGATGACCTACGAATCCATATTGGGGAAGAAGGAGATGGTAAAATTCCAAAGAAACTTGCAATTATAGGGCTATGGTGTATCCAGTGGCACCCGGTGGATCGTCCGTCCATGAAAATAGCGGTTCAGATGTTAGAAGGAGACGGAGAAAGCTTGACCATGCCGCCTAATCCCTTTGTTTCTAGAGGTCCTACAACTAAAAATGGAAGCATTCCGGCAAGACGACTAGAGTTGGAACCAATTGCTGAACTAGAGTAGAAATTGTAACAACAATATATGTAATATTAACATTGAATGTGTAATCTTTCGAACCTAATTTAAGGGTGTTTGTTTCCAATTCTTGTTAACTTTTTTTATTTTTTTATTTTGTAAGCGTCGAAGGAAATCAAGACTTGGACTTGCCCTATGCATGTGGCAACCCCTCCCAATTTTTTCTCTTCACATTCGGCCAACTTTTACTTGGAATTTTCTCTTCCAATTGAAGTGAACCAGTAATCTAGTATTTGGTTGGGAGCTAGTGGCTAGAGCACCTTCCGTGCAGCTGAAGTTTTGAAAAATATCTAAGAGGAAAAGTCATGCTCAGTTAAAGCCAGGCCCATAATGTCGGACAATCGGTCTATGACAGGATTGACTTATGTGATAATTGAGATTGACGTACACGTAACACGGTAACATGCCCATGATGCCAAACAGTCGGTCAATGGCAGGATTGACTAATCATGTAACAGGTGAGACAAAAATTGTCTGCCATTTCACTTCCGATGCCTTCATATTTGGTGTGGTCACGGTTAAGCTACGTCAACATTTTATATTATTTTTTTTATAAAGATAATAAGACAAAAATAAATAGTAATATAAAATGTTGACATAGCTTAACCGTGACCACACAAACATAAGGGCACGGAAAGGTACCGGAACTAGGAGGGTAGACAATCCTTGTCTGTAACAGGTGCCCGTCACGATCATAGTTAATAATACAAAACTATGTGAATAAAGACTTACACACTACAATCCTTCGTTATGGAAGGAAATCTTTTTTCATTCTAATCCATCAAATCAGATAATCCATACTTTTGAAATTTGATCTAATGGTTTAAGTTATTATGATTTTTAAAATAGATCCCTATTTTTAACCGTTGGATCAAATGCTAACGACATAAATTTCCTAATCATGCGGAAGGGATCCTAAAATGATCTCTCTTCCCTTCATTATAGAGAAAAAGACATCAACCTGTTCCGGATTTCATGTGAATTAAAATTAATTATTCTTCTTTTATTAAATTTCCAAGAAAAATGTAAATGGAGTCAAATTGTATAAATTAATGGAGTATCAAAAGATAATAATAAATTAATGGAATTAAGGCTAAAATTGTATAAATTAATGGAGTATCAAAACACAATAATAACAGAAAAAATCATTTTTCGTTAAATAAATTAACTATTTATTTAAGAGGATGTGGATGCTGGTTGATGCATCACGTAAATACGAAAAAACCTACTTTGAAGAGAGACATTCATTAGAAGCAAAGAAAAAAGTTATAATGATTTAGGAAAAAACAAGAAAAGGCCATTAAATGGGACTCATTGACATGATTAGAAAATGGGTGGTGAACAAGAAATTTTTCAGTGCGATCGGAATACAAGATGATACAACATATATCATTATGCAAATAGTGAGATATGTGTGTTAAAAAGTTAATATCTTAAAAAATAAAATTTCCCACATTTATATAAAAACAAATAATGTACCATTTGTGTTCTGATCATAATGAAAAATTTCTCGTGGTGAATGACCTTGAGACATTCATTACAAGCCAATAAAAAAGCTACAACAATTTACGAAAAAGCAAGAAAACCTCATTAAGTAGGACTCATCAAAATACTTGATTAAGAGAAGAATGATGCTATCTACATACCTCATTCAAATTTCAATCATCCGATATGATGAACTAAAAAAAATCAAAAAACAAAAGTTAACAAAAGATGCCTAGGAGGTAAAAGAAAGTGTGTAAATAGCACAACCAAATAATATTATTGTGTTTACTTTCAAGTCTTCAAGGGAATAAGAGTGCTAGTTTGCAATTGGATAAAAGGTTGAAATTATTAGAAGAAAAGTCATATTCTTGTGTATACTTTCTAGTTTTTAGAGAAGTGAGAGTGGAAATTGGAATTGGAATTAGGAATGAAAGTTCTACTTGACTGACCAAGAAAGAAATATGGTAGGTCTTCCAATTTAGTTGGGAGCTAGTGGCCAGAGCACCCTCCGTGCAGCTGCAGTATTGAAAAATATCTAGGAGGAAAAGTCATGCTAAGTTAAAGCCAGGCCCATGATGCCGGACAGTCGGTCAATGACAGGACTGACTTATGTAATAATTGAGATTGATGTACATGTAACAGGCCCATGATGCCGGTCAGTCGGTTAATGACAGGTCTGACTTATGTAATAATAGAGATTGATGTACATGGAAGGGTGCCCGTGACAATCGCAGTTAATAATACAATAATATGTAATAAAAACTTACACATGACAATACACTATTCATCCTTCGTTACAAAGAAAAA